ACACCCAGGCTATGTATTTATCCCTGTGAGGGCAAACTGCTTTCCTTCCAAGAGGGAAGGGGCCTGATATACTTAACCTGCCACCACAAATTTTTATCTCAGAACATTCTTAATTTGCCCTTAATCTGGAAAACTTAAGAAATTTTTCAGAGTATGAAATTTGATTGGAAGATTTTCCTTTCTGCATTTTGAGATATCATTCTACTGTATTTTGACTTTCATTGTTGTAACTGAGAAGTCAGTTGTCAGTCTCTTGCATCCTTTAAGGTAATGAGTTTTTGTTATCTGCTACTTTTGCCTTTGGTTTTATTAAATTTCATTCTGATTTGTTTAGAAGTGAATCTTTAAAAAACTTAGGTGGGCATGGTGGCTCATGCATGTAACCCCAGCACTTTGGGAGGCCGAGGCAGATAGATCACTTAAGGTTGGGAGTTCAAGACTCATGGAGAAACCCTGTCTCTACTAAAAATACAAAATTAGCTGGGCATGGTGGTGCATGACTATAATCCCAGCTACCCAGGAGGCTGAGGCAGGAGAATCACTTGAGCCCAGGAGACGGAGGTTGCGGTGAGCTGAGATTATGACATTGAATTCCAACCTGCAACAAGAGCAAAACTCCATCTCAAAACAACAACAACAACAAAATTATGTTATTTGAATTTTATTGTGTTTTTTAAATCTGTGAATTGGTATCTTTATCAGTTTGAGAATATTCCCAGCCATTCTCTCTTCAAATAATTACTCTGTCTGACTTTTATTTTTCCTCTTAGGAATCCAGTCAATATCTTAGACCCTCTCACTTTCATCTTCACATTTTTTCCACCTTCTTTTGTATTTTCCTGCTTTCCTGTGCCTGTGCTGCAATCTGGATTTCTTCTCGTTTGTCTTCAAATTTGCTAATTCTCTTTTCTGTGTGTATGATGCCTACTGCTAAATACAGCTATTGGCTTATTTAATTTAATTTAGTTATTATATAGTTATAGAGGCTCTATTTGACTCCTTCAAACCTGTCACCTTCCATAGTTTTCTGTTCTAGAAAAATATTTTTATGTTTGACATTTGTTTCTTAAATATGATTAGGATGGTTGATTTGAGCTGTGTGTAAAAAAATTACAAAATCTGAAGTTCATGTAGGTATTTTTCTACTGTCTTGTTTGTTTCCTTTGTTTCTTTTTTCTTGGTGTTCTTGTTCTTATGACCTTGCTTACTCATATGCCTGGTAATCTTCAACTATGTGTGGCTTGTGCCTTTGAAAATGTATTTTGGTGATTCTTCTCCCCTCTAGAGAGACTTTCTTTTTGCCTTTTGTGAAATGAGTTTAGCCTACATTAAACTGAATACAGTTTGAGTGTTTTTAGTTCAATGGAGCTATGAGCATTCAGGGTGAAAATCTTTGTGAGAGTCTGTCCCTGGCCATAGACCTCCAGGAATGGGCTCTTTTCTTTTTATCTTTCCTGCTTCTCCTTTGTTTAGTGCCAAGATAGCCATCTCCATGGTTCTTAGAGATTGGAGAAAGGCAGTCTAGATTTCATGAGCTTGTTACCCTCCCAGCCTCAACCCTGTGCCCTGACTTTGTTCTTTTTGTGCTGGTGTGACTACAGACTGAGCATAAGGTACTGTACTGTAGTCACACCAGCTATATTGTCAAGCTTTGCCCTAGTCACTGTAGTCACTACAGTATTATATCATCAGAAAACATGTAGTGGTTTTAATGTTCCTTTATTTTAGATCCTGATTCTGTAGGTCTGGAGTAGGGCCTGAGATTCTGCATTTCTGAAAAGCTTCTAGATAATGCCAATGCATCATCCATAAACTACATCTTGAGTATCAAGAACGTATACAACATGGACAATTTTAGCTAATGATTTGGCAATATGTGAAAAATAGCAGCCAAAATAAATGGTATAAATTTTGCTATAAGATTTGAGAAAAATTTGTAGGGTAGAGGTGACTATATCAAACCTTGAACTGAGTAATGTAGGATAGATAGGGATGGACAAAGGAATGAAATCCCAAGACAGGTCTAGTTCTGGATAGCTGAAGAGAGAGGGAAGGCTGCAACTCTAGGCTTTACTCCTGTGGATTTCTTTTCTTGCAGAGTGAGAAGTTTCCTTCATCATATTTGTTTCAGAGTCCTTTCTCAGGAGCATTCACCATTTTGGCTATAGCAGATGTTACCTCCATGCTAGAGAGAAATAAGTACAGGTCTTGGAAAATCTTGAGATGTCAACCAACACCTGCAGAGGCCTGGCCTGCAGACCCTGACTGAAGGAAGGCTGGATGAATGCGCTTCATACCATTACGGTGATACAAGTGGTCTAGGGATGGCCCTTGGTTAGTTTCAGAGGGTAAAATGCAACCAATCGACCAAAACTGCCTGTTTATCCACACATTTATTCATAACAGAGGTTCTAAATCACCACACTTATGGCTAATTAACATGATTAAAAGAGTGGTTATACAAATAATAAAAGCTTTATGATTCAGGCCCAGAGTAAACCCTATTAACAGGTAATTCCCCTTTGATCTCCCCCTGAGAGGACCACCTAGCACAAAGTTTACATGAGTAAACAGTTAGAATGGAGACAAAGGGATGTGGGGTAAACAGGCTTAAATTGGGAAGGCCTTTGATTGTCCCTGTCTTTTCCCTAACTTAATGAACTGGCCAGCCACCTTCAGCTTGCCCCAATAAAACCTTTCAGCCTTCCAAAAGGTTTGAGACTATAATCTATAACTTTCCCTAATATGCTCCTTAATGTTTTGCCAGCCACTCTGAGTGAATAACAACACAATCTGGTATCACCACAGCCCTCATCACTTTCATTGATGGCACTGTGGTCTAAGTATCCAGACCATATAGAGCTCCATGTTATCTATGACATGAAATAAGCATTTTAAAGGACCTACATCTTAGCTGTCGTCACAGCTGAGTTTGCATTAGTATGTGTGGCATCCAAACCAATATGTTTTGGCTGTTTGTATCTTCATGCCTATGGATAGTCCTTGGGCCTCTTCCCCCAAGGTATTTATGTGATTCAGTTATATGTAAAGAGAGTGGGGCTGATGTCATAGGCTCTGAACTTTCTTCTTTGAGTATAGAAATCATCTTATGGAAATGGAGACCTGAGGAAGCTCCTCTATATAAACTCAGCTTGATTCCAAATTCTAATTTTGACTCAGTGATGCCTGCTACACATTTAACTTTTGGCTATTCATGATTTCACACTCCTCAGGGGATGACTGTGGGGCTACCTGGGACAAGATTTCAATGGCCTTTTATTTATCATACCATGCAGTAAGAATATCTGGGAAGGAGGTAGGGCATAAACAGGAGGTAATTCTCCTTTTGGCCAGGTAGGCCATTGATGAAGTGGCACAAAAGTCACAATCTGAGATGATCTATTGCTAGTCACAGCAAAAATGCTGACTGAGCTAAACAAGTCAATCTGGGCACTGGTGACAGACATAGGGGACTCATTAGGTCAGTTGCTCCAGGAAGTTGTCACTTATAGGGAGCTTTGATGCTCTTCTTTAACCTGAATAACAGCCCAGCAAGGTGCAATGCATTTCACGTGAGTCATCTGAGGATGTGGGATGTGACAGAATTTCTCCAAGGATACAATTCTAAAAGTTGCAAAACCTAATTTTGAATGCACATCTTTTGAATACAAGTATCTTACTTTTGAACACTGAACACTATGTTAGTTTGGGTTCTCCCCAAGAGAGACCCTGGATGCAGGGAGCTCATTTAGGAAATTATTCCAGGAAGTCCAATAGAGGAAATGCTAGTGGTCTTGTTACTATTATGGGGCAATTCTGAGAAACCTTAGTGTTATCCTATCAGAAGATGGGGAGGCTGAACATTTGTGTACCAGTTTCTTTCCTCACTTCCTGAAGTTGCCCCCGAGATGGAAGCCCTTGGGGTGTGAAGCTGACAGGTGCTAGGATTTCCCACAGCAGTTGTGAACTCGGGTTGTTGAAGGTATGGAGCAGAGCGTCAACAGTATTACTTTAGCTTCCTTTTGTTGAAGACCTAATGTCAGGTACTGTAAGTTCAGAGCACTGGGGCATCTGGCAGCCAGGCTTCCATCCCCTCTTATTAGTTAGGATTTGTCAGAATCAGTAGGATGTGTGTTTATGTGTACTCTCTCTCCCACTTTCTCTCTCTCCGTTTTTTCTCTCTCTCTCTCTCTTTTTTTTTTTTTCTCTCTCTCTCTCGGCGCTTTGTATCTGCAGGTTCAACCAACCAGCATTGAGGGATGCTGAACCTGTGGATAATGAGGGCTGACTTTTTGTACAAGTGGGTTCTGCAGAGTCAACTGACAAACTTGTATATCTGCAAATTTTGGTTTTGGGGGTGTCCTGGAACGAATTCCCTGAGGGATGACTGTGTATATAGATAAGCAGATATACAAGGAAACTTTTAGAGGTTTGTGGAAATTGAATTAGTAGATAAAAATAAAAAATATAAACTTTATTTCTCAACACAAGTTCCATAAGCTTTAACACATTTTTGCAAACAATAATACTAGTCATTTAATCAATCCCTAAAGAATTGAGAGTCCAGGAATTTAATATGTCAATGTCTTTTTTTACATTATTAACTAAAGATCATAGACATCTCAGTTGGTTCAGCCTACACAATTGTGACTAAAAAATTAAAGTTGAGGTGTTGTGGCTCATGCCTGTAATCCCAAAAACTTGGGAGGCCGAGGTAGGCCTCCTGACTTTGAGGTCAGGAGTTCAAGACCATCCTGGTCAATAAGGCGAAAACTGTCTCTACTAAAAATACAAAATTTAGCCTTTCCTAGTATTAAAAAATATTAAAAGAACACCCATTTTCCTTTAGTCGTATAAAAGGATTCCTATCCGTGGCAGTTCTGAAACAACACCACCACAATGGAAAAAGATAAATATCCTCATAGAAGGGCAAAAAGTTGACAAGGGGACAATATTCTGTGCTCTCATTCTTACTAATTTACATTTTGACTTTCTCAACAATGTTAAAAAGTGTCAGACCTCAGTTGAGGAGCATTCAGGATATCAGTTATCAGGTATGGATTCTTCAGGATCAGATCCTCATAGAAGTCCCAAGGAAGCACCATATGACTCCAGGTGAGTAGCCAGGATCTGTTAAAGGCAGCCCCTTTGACCAGTGCAGTTGGGTGTTTGGTGCTGAGCCTTTATTCCACAGTGGGCTTATTAACTGGGCATATCTAGAGAAAGGAGCATCTCAAGGACAATAATGAATAGAGGGTGAGCAAAATGTTGTTCTGGGACTATGGTCATGAAGTCAGAGAAGAGAGAGAAGGCTTAAGGGAGACCGAAGGGTCAGCCTGTGAAAAACAGTGGAAAACAAATTCTGAGAAGCTTCAAGGAGCAAGACTAAGACAAAAGAGTGTAAATTATGGGAGGACCAGTTTTTGAATCCATGAAAGACTGACTTTTGTAATGGAAAGTGTTCCTCAAAGATAGGATGGGAGTTTGGGTTAGGTGGTGAGTGGCAGGGTGACCACTCTGTGAGTGTACTGTGAGTGTCAGCAGATTCCAGCCTCTGCTGCCCTTAAAACTCTGACCCAGAGATACCACCCTCGAAATGGCACCTGAATACCACTTTTCACACCGTGTTCCCAGTCACTATTGCCTTAATCTCATGTCAACATGTGGAGACCCTTGTGAAAGACAGAGGGAACCCCATCTACCTGAGACTGAATGAGCTCAAGCTCTGCCTGATGTGTGCTAAGGTCAGAGAGCAGCCTGAGCTGCAGCTGAAGATGAGTGTGTAAGACAGGTCCTGCCAGTGCTTGACCAGGAGAGGAGCTCATTTATTTGATAGAAACTCAGATTTTAGGATCTTTTAAAAGACAATATACTTATTATGCTATACATATTTATTTTTGGTTTCTTTGGGGTTGAATGTGTTATGAAAGAATAAGTTTCAGGGATGTTTTGAAACAACCCTACTAAAATGACTTATTTTAATTTACAAAAATATTAATAATTTGGCAAGGATGATGTCTAATTTCAATAGAACACACACACACACACACACACACACACACACACACACAGTAAAATCAGCAAGGACATTTTAGCAGTTAATTATCCCAAAGTAGATGAACTTATTAAAACATCTTTTCAGCAAAAAGTACATTGCAATTTAAAATGAACAAACATAATTCTCTGTAACACTTTAATAATTGCAATTTTCCATTATTAAAGAAAAGATCATTAAAGCAGGCCTCTGTGCACTACAGGAACACTCTTGATCATTTTCAGTAAACAAGCATAGGCAGCCACTCGATTTGATGACAGGATATAAAACAGTGGCTTTCAACCAGGGGTGATTTTGCTCCATGGACATTTGCCAATATCTGGAGATGTTTTGGTTGTGACAACCTGGGATGAGGGTGTGTTACTTGCATTTAGTGGGTAGATGACCAGGATGCTGCTAAACATCCTATATTGTACAGGACAGATCCTGACAACAAAGAATTATTTTGCCTAAAATGTCAATAATGCTGAGGGTGCAGAAACCTGACAGAAAATAACTATGTTTTAATTTGGAATTCACAGTAACTGTTACATAAATATTCTTTAAATTTCTATATCTGAACAACAAATAATGGCTCAATCAATGCTTTGTTAGATTAGAAAAGTATTTAAGTTGTGTGTGGTTTTTTTTTTACTTTACTTTAGGTTCTGGGGTACATGTGCAGATCATGCAGGATTGTTGCATAGGTACATACAGGGCAATGTGGTTTGCTGCCTTCATCCCCCCATCACCTATATCTGGCATTTCTCCCCATGTTATCTCTCCCAAACCTCCCCACCCTTTGCTGTCCCTCCCCTAGACCCCCAATCCTGTAATGTGAAACAGAGGTCTCCAAGCTGCTTCAATGAGTAGGGAATGCTATCTTGGACATGGCATATCAGTGCGTAGAGAATGTGAAACATTCAAACAGTTATGTTTCTTGCTGGTGTCTCCTTCACACCCTTCAGGAACAGGATATAATGGATTTGTATGATGAACCCAAGCCTGTGAAGCTGTTTCTCTTCTACCACAGTCAGAGTGGCAGAAGCTCCACCTTTGAGTCTGTGGCCTTCCCTGGCTGGTTCATTGCTGTCAGCTCCGAAGGAGGCTGTTCTGTCATCCTTACCCAAGAACTGGGGAAAGCCGACACCACTGACTTTGGGTTAACCATGCTGTCTTAAGGTTAGTTTGGGTTTGAGGTTGGTCTTCATGCAGATAAAATCTTAGTATAATCTTAGCCTGAAATGGGTAGGGAGGATCTGCTATTGGACTTTCCGCATAAGGGTATCCTGCTGCCTCCCAATATATTCATGCAGTGACCTAAGTGCTGGACTGGTCTACATGCCCTCTCCCTGGGTCCGTGTGGAAAATAGTCCAGGGAAATTGAGTGTCTTGCCATGAGCATGTGGCTGAACTATGACACCATTACAAGAATAATAAAGAAAGCTCTACTTAACATACTTGGTAATAATACACCAAGTAAAAATGAGAGGGTGACTCTTGAATTTTAAGTCCAGGTCTCTGGATTTTCAGATACATTCCTCTGTGATAGTGTATCAAAGACCTTTTGGATTCTGACAAGGAGAAGCAGATATGGATGTTCCATCGGAAAGTGGAGTCCCATAAAGAAGGCTGCACCGCTCCTGGGCTTGGCTCATGTCTCAGTGAAGTGATATACGCTGGTGCTGCTTTGGGTGAAGAGCTGCTGTTGTTTATGAAGCTTTCACCTAAAGTGTTATCACTGGATCTCAGAAAACATTAAACTTGTGAAATAAAAATTTTGTCATCTCAGTCACTCTTTTATGAATCAAATGGCTTTAATGGAATACCGTGGTAATAGTATTGATTCCTTACACTTATAAGGAGTTTTATAGTTTGTAAAGCAGGCTCACATAAAGGCTCTCATTTCTAAGAGGAACCTGGAAGTTTGTTGGGGAGGGTGGTATCTTCCTAAACTTGGGTTTCTCAATGCCTCACTAATGGGGTGCCTGGGACAAATAGTGCTTCACCAGTAGAAATTTCACTCCATATTTCAGTGCACAATGCAGGCTCACAGCTGGCTGAAAAACTCCCTGCCCCTTCTGGCAAGGATTTCTGAGAGTCTCCTGTGAGTTTTTCGTGTGAACTCACACTCCTAAACTGTCATGGCTCCCACTCATCTAGAGAATATTGTTTTTAATCCTCTCTTATTTTGAAGTAAGTTTTCTTCTTACAGAATATTAGTTGAAACTTTATTTCTTGCCATATTATGATTCCAAAATAGTTAATCTGTGTAGTTCTGTTGTAACGTTTACTTTCCATTATATTTTTACTTGTCCCTAAGCTTTGGAGGAAGATGTGGAAATACTGTTTACCTGAGCACATGGATGACTTCCAGGGCCCTGCAGGCATTGCCCCAACCTCCTCATCCCATCCTGGTGCTTTCTTCCTTTCAGCATTTGAGTCACTACATTGCTGTCAGAGATTTCATTTTTTCCTGGTGACAGCCTAGCGTAGCCCAGGTTTTTCATTTCTCATGGTTCCTACAAAAAAGTACAACTGTTTCTCCTCTGCCTTTTCCTGTATCTGTAATTTCTCTAGACCTGTGGGATGACCAGGACACTTAGGAGAGTGAAAGGGGCCTATTAATAATTACATTGGGTTAACGGACCTAAACTGGGAGAAATGGACCAGCTCTTAGACCAACTAGGGTATCTGATTTCCTAAACTCAGGGCTGGGGAGGAATCTGGCCATCTTTGACATTGCCTGGATGTTTTCTGGAAGAAGCAATTCAAACTCTTTAGAAATGTGTGCCTACTTGTTTTTTCTCTTCCTTCCTTCCTTCCCTCCCTCCCTCCCTCCCTCCCTCCCTCC